GGAGGGGAGGATGCTCAGGAGTCAGGATGAAACAAACTAACATATAAAGCTCTGGAAAGGACACCGCCAGCACCCCAGGTCATCCAGCCAAAGACACTGGGGCCAACCCGGCTTCTGCTTTGTGCGTGTGGGACATGTGTAAAGAAACAGTGGCCGTCCCGCTGACTCAGCTTCCAAGACACGTGCCAAGTTCATGGGCGTCTGTCTGTCTGTGAGCACACCCTGGTCCATCTCCCCCTGGGGGGCAGCCGAGCAACCTTTCCAGCCACCAAGCCACCCTCCCCCACCACGGGGTGCAACCAGAAGGATCTTTCACTTAAGAGAGTTAAATCGAACTCTACCCCCCTCCTTTCTCTTCTTCTAACTTTTTATCATGGAAACTGCAGACATACAAGCACAAAGCAAGCAGGATGACCAGTGACAAGCCCACCAACCATCTTCCGTGTTCAGGACTACCATGATGTGTCCCCCCCGACACACCACCATGCTCCCCTCCTGCACCCCAGACAGCACATCACCTCATCTGTAAGAAGTACTATGCTCAACAAAGTAGTTTTTTTCAACCTGCGCTGAGCTGGTTTGTGGGAATTACGTTCCCCCACCAAGGACTGAACCGGGGCTGTGTCAGTAGAAGTGCCAAGTCCTAACCCTTGGGTCACTAGGGAATTCCCAACAAAGTAACTTTGGGGATTTTGGACATCCCCCAAGCTGGATGACATTATTCCTCGGCTGAAAACCCCCCTGGGGCCCTACCTCCTCACCCTGGCCTTGACCCTGACCTGCCTCTCCTCTCCCTCCCCCGGCTGGCCATTCTGTTCCCTGGGCTGGGGCTCTGCGTTCATGGTCTCTCCACCTGGGTCCCCCACCTCCCTCGCTTTTCATGAATGCCTCCCCCTGGCCACCTGTGTTCTCAGTTCCCTTGTCTGGATTTTTGTCTTAACAAAAATCTGGGGGTCTAGGCAGGAGCACGTGGTGATCGGGCTTCTGTGTGGAGGATGTTGTGGGTGGGTGGGGAAGCAGGCTGCCGGGGTCTGAGATGATTCAGCGAGATGAAAGCTGGAAGGCACTCCAGCCTGAGACATAGTGAGTGCTCAAAAAATACCAGCTGTTGTCAGTACCTGCTGGATAAACCTTGGCCTCCCTTTTTAAGCAGAGTTGCAGGAATAAAAAGTGGCTGAGGGTGAACTGTCTGCCCCAAGTAACCCAGCTGGTGGGGCTCCGGGAGAGAAGCCCCTGAGCCCGAGTATGCGTTTACTGCACGCTCCTGAAGCCTGGCCTGGCTTCGTCCCGCGGGGAGACAGTTACAGGCACGGATGATGCAACGCCACCAAGAGCATTGTGTCTACCACAAGGGAGGCCCGGTCTAGCAATGAGTGGGGGAGTCCTTCCAGTGTGGGGTGACCGGGAAGGCGTCCCCAGTGCCAGGCTGGAGGGATTCCCCCACCCCCAGAGCCTCAGGCCAGGGCCAGCACCCAGGGTGAAGGAGGGCAGCTCGGCCACCAGGGGGAGCCCAGGGACTGCGCCGGTTTGCGGACTCGGGGCTGCGCCCGGAGGAATGTGACAGCCGCCGCGTGGTGGCCGGTATTCGCAGACGGACAGACCGACCCGGAGTGAACCCTGTCCCGCCACTGCTTGGAGGGTGAGCAGTGGCCTTGGGCAAGCCACTTGGCCTTCATGTGCCTCACCTTCCGCACTGTGAAGGGAAGAACTCGCTTTTGGGGGCCAAGCTGCAAATCTGACGCATCTCACCTTGATCTGGCACCTCTTACCTACGGAACTGGGAGCCTGCTCCTTCCCGAAGCAGCCACAGCCCCTGCCGCTGGAGCAAAGAGCCGGGAAGAGGCTCGAGCCCCTCTGCCAGACAGCCCCCCGCCCCAGCATCCCCGGCGGGCCAGGCACCCCGTGTGTCTCCTCTTTCCCTCTCACAGTCATCGTTCAGATCTCAAGCTGTGGGGGAGTGTGTGGCAGCTCCACGCCTGAACCCCCAGTTGGCTGCCAAACGGGGCACTGAACAGGTCTGAAGGGCCTTTCCGCCTGGCTCCTGCAGGCCGGTAGCCTCCGGGCCGGGGACAGTCTGGGCTCAGACACGCGGCCCCTAGAGTGGAAGGCCTGCGTGGAGGGGCCCCGTGTGCTCCCCCTCTCCTGCGAGCCTTCCTGAGACTTGCCCCTCCCCGCAGGCTCTGCTGGGGGCCAGGGCCCCCTGGAAGGTTAGCTCTGGCCTGGAAGGCCCGGCCTGGCAGTTTGGTCTTCATCCCGGGAAAGACTGTTGGCAGGGACAGCTGTGGTCAGGCTCGTATTTTTGAGGGTGCCCTGGCTGCAGGGTGGAGGACGGCTGGGGAGGAGCGGACAGGTGGCGGTGGGCCCCCAGGTAGGGCAGGAGACCTCAGGCCGGGAGAGGCCCGCTCACAGGAAAGCCTGGGATGGCCAGCTGGACTCGAGGCTGAAGCCCGGGTATCCAGCTCAGGTAAGTGGTGATGCTGTTGGCTTTAGGAAGAACCCTGGGGGTCAGTCACATTCCTGGGGGCCACAGCTGAGCTTGACCTTGCAGGTTACAGATTTGCGGTCCGCCAGCAGGAGCCCCAGACTCAATGGAGGTGCATCTGAGCAAACTCCAGGAGACGGCGAAAGCCAGGGAAGGCTGGCTTGCTGCAGTCCATGGGGTCGCAGAGTCAGACACGACTTAGCAACCGAACAACAACAAAAGACAGGAGCCAAAATGATGGCAGCAGGACCCTAGGAGGGAGGAGTAGAAAGCACAGCGGGTTCTTGGGGCGAAAAGACTTGGGAGTCCCAGCTGGGGCAGGGGGACTGGCGAGCCCTGTGGCACTCCACGCCCCCATTCCTTGGAGGCAGATCCCTGGTCACAAGCTAAGGATGAAAGCCAGCCCCGCAGGTTGCCCCTCGCCCTACATCCCTGCAAAGGAACACAGCGCCCAGTGTGCCGTGGTTCACATGGGAGTCTGGGCTCTGTCTGTCGAGGGACTCATCCAGATAGGATAGGATGTGGAGCCTGCCCTTAACAGGCCAGTACCATCATGCCGCTGGGGTGATGCGGGCAGAGAAAGGTCATTCCCTAAATCCCCCGATTGTTCACCCTGACATGCAGAGATGACTTCTTAGATCTGAGGATGGAGCTGCAGGCTGGCCTGGAGCTCCGGTCGATAAGGCTGACACCTTCTCAGCCACAATCGGAGTGCCAGTACCTGGGATCAAAGAGCAGACGGGCTCAAGCATAAGATGGTCTGCTGGGGCAGGGAGAAACAGAGGCGTGTAGGCCAGTGGGACGTGGGACCAATCCCTGGGTTGGGAAGATCCCCTGGAATAGGAACTGGCAGCTCTCTCCAGTCTTCTTGCCTGGAGAATCCTGTGGACAGAGGAGCAGCCTGGAGGGCTACAGTCCATGGGGTCGCAGAGTCGGACATGACTGAGCATGTATGCACGGCAGAGGCTGGTGGGAGCCCAGCTGTCGGAGGCACAGCATGGCTGCTGGGGAAGGAAAGGGGGCTGCTGGACCAACCAGTGAGAGAGAGGGGCTGGGGAAACCCCAGATGGAGTTGGAAGACAGGGGAGGACTGTTCGGATCCCCCCACTCTGCTCTGTATATCCTCCACCCATGGCTCTCATTTCAGATGGTTTCACTGTCTTCATGTTTTGTGTGTGTGTTCAATCACTCAGCCCTGTCTGACTCTGCGACCCCATGGACTGTACCCCGCCAGGCTCCTCTGTCCGTGGGATTCTCCAGGAAAGAATACTGGAGTAAGTGGCCATTTCCTCCTCTAGGGGATCTTCTAACCCATAGATGGAACCCACGTCTCCTGCCTTGGCAGGTGGATTCTTGGCCCACTGAGCTATCAGAGAAGCCCCTGTCATTGTCTCTTATGCACCATTCGAAATTCTTTTTGGAGGCAGAACTGAAATAGGAGGATCCAGACACACAGGTCTAGCTCAGGAGACCCCTGTGATGGGGAACCTGGCGTCTCCAGGTAGAGTCTCCTCCTCAGGGCTCAGAGTAGTTGAGAAGGAAGAGTCAACCCAAGTCCTCGAATCTTGCCAGGCAGCATGACCCCAGGGCCACGACAGATGTGACTGCCTCCGCATTCCACAGGATGCTGAGTCCCCACCAGTGTCCCTGTGCTACAAGTCACACACCTCAGAGACGTGGCTTGGAAACCGGTCTCACGTGCTACGGGTCAGCTCTCGCTGCCTTGGGCAGGCACGTGGTGAGGCCCGAAAGCCAAGTGTGGTCTAGGCAGCTGTAAAACAAAGCTGCTGAGGAAAGAGCCGGCCTCTGGAACCGGTGAAACTCTGACTCTGGCCCTCTGCGGTTGAGTGAGGTCTCCTCTGAGTCTTGGTGGTCCCGCCTTTAAAACAGGGCTCAGGGCGCTGGTGTCCTGGGGCGCGTGTGGGCGCCGAGCCACGTGCGCTGAGCACTAAGAGAGTGTGGCACGTGACAAGCGCAGTGTGGGCTCGGAGGGCTGCTGGGCACGTGGGGCCTGGCCTCGGGCTCGCTCGGCCCTGGGGCTCCCCTGGGGTGCAGTGCTGGTAAATGACAGCCACGGCACCACCTGACCAGGCTCCCACGTGGCCAGAGCACAACGTGAGCCGTGCCGGGTCCTCGAGAGCCGGGCCTGCGCAGACCCCACCCACCTGGTTACACTGTTGCTCACACATGGTTTGTGTGCTGCACTTGGCTCTCGTATCCAAAGCAGGCTCCATGCGTCCACGTCACAGTCCCAAGAAAGGAGGATTCGAGGAAAGGGTTCATGTCCATGCGGTGCTAGGGACCCTCACGGGCAGAGGCTTCTCCCGCCCAGGCTCAGGCAGGGTCAGGCCTAAGAGCGAAGCCCAGGAGAGCAGCAGACACAGCCCACATCCGGGACCTCACAGTACATTCAACATCGACAATATTGCATGCCATCGCACGATCTCAAAAAGGCTCCCTGGGGCGTGACGGGGTGGGGGGGGGCCAGGACGCAGCCCACACAAATGGTCAGACGCGGTCTGAGTGGAAAGGGGTCATTGCTTTAATTTAGGTCAGGACCCACCCTGGGGGGCCCGCCCACCCCATCCTGAGGCAGAACCACTGGCCCTATGTCAACATGATCGTTACAAAAATAAATATGAAAAAAGCAGCCGCTCTTTAGTGATCGTGGAATTAATCTTGACAGCAATTAAATGTGTTTAAGCATCTGGCATGTCTCCTAAATTGCACCAAAAGAATCTGGAAGCACTTGGTTTGGCCTCAGAGGCAACCCGGAAAGGGAGGCGGGGGGGCCCAGCCGCAGGCCCCAACCCGCAGGTCACATCTCGGAATCGGCGTACATGCCGTTGATGAGATAGTCCACCTGCGTGTAGTCCTTCTTCCTGTAGCTCTCGTAGGCCTGCAGGGCGAACAGGATCAGGACCGTGATGAAGAGGGTGACCCCCAGCAAGAGCACCGCCAGGAGGAAACTTCTGTTCACGGAGGACAGGGTCAGGGGCTCGCTGGAGACCACCAGGTACTGGCCCTGGGTGCTGGGCTGGCACGAGTCTGTGGGGGGCACCTTGGAGTCCCCAGGGGTCGGCCCTGGGGAAGTAATACCACGCGTGGTCACAGGCCTGGCTTGCTCCAGCATCTGAGTTGTCCCCGGCTCTGGGGCCCCCGGCGTGGATGTGGCAGGGCTGGGCTGTGTCGTGGGGGTCGTGGCCTCCACCGTGGGGGCCGGGCTGGTGTGAGGTGTGGGTGCTGCCGCTGAGCTGACGGTCAGCGCAGGGGCCTTGGTTGTGGTGCCCACGGTTGTGGACACGGAAGCCGCAGATGGGGAGGCAGGCTCTGCGGTTGTGTTTAAGAGGGTGGGTGTGGGCCTCCGGGCCGTGTCATCCACAGTCCCGGGCGTTGGCGTCGGCGCCTGGACGGTGGGGCCCTGCGCAGACACACTGGGTACTCGGGGACTCGAGGGCGTCAGGCTGGCTGTGGAGAGGCTGGCAGTGGACCCGGGAGGACCGGGTGAGCCTGCGGGGCTGCTGACACTGGCGGGGGTCGTGGCAGCGGGCTGGGCACTCGTGGCCAGTGTGGGTGTGGCGGGTGGCATGGCTGTTACTGGCCTAGACGACGAGCTGTTGCCAGGCGCCCGCGTGCCGGGTGAGGACGGGGTCCTCCAGGCAGACACAGGGGCGGGCGGCGTGGGCGCCCTGGAGGCGGCTCCGGCTCGGGTCCCTCCAGCTGTCAGGGAAGTGCCCACGTCTGTCCTGTGTGTTGTCCCCGCTGTGACTGCAGGAGAGGTGTGGTCGCCTCCCCAAGTCCCTCTGGTCAGTGTGATGGGAGACGGTGTCGCCGGGGTCACATCAGCTGTTCTGTTCAAGACTCCGGTCACTGTTTCCACGGACGAGTTTGTGTCCGAGTGGTCCCACGTCTGGTTGAGGACTGCGTACCGGTAAGAGTCAGAAAAGGAGAAAGACAAATGATCGTCTTCTCATTAGAAAAGTGGATTACTCAGGTGGATTATTCAGAGCCAGTCTGAGTTTCTGGCCCGTGGGGCTGGCCAGGGAGGATGACGGTGACGCGGGCCCAGGGTTCCCTCTTGGCTCACCACGCACCTCTGGCCTGCAGCCCATCACACAGGTGCTCAGCACTGTGGTTTAAAAACTCCTTTGCTCTCTGAACCCCAGATGCACGGAAGACTTCAGAGCTTCACCCTTTGATCCAATTCCCAAAATACCAAAGTCTCACATCACAGGTGTGATTCACCATTAAAAAAAAAAAAATCTATCCAACACACACCAGGTTTTCAAAGCAGCTAAATCGTTGCCCAAAAACACTCTCCGACATAAATCACAGCAGGATCTTCTATGACCCACATCCCAGAATTTTAGAAACAAAAGCAAAAATAAACAAATGGGACCTAATGAAACTTAAAAGCTTTTGCACAACAAAGGATACTATAAGCAAGGTGAAAAGACAGCCCTCAGATTGGGAGAAAATAATAGCAAACGAAGCAACAGACAAAGGATTAATCTCAAAAATATACAAGCAACTCCTCCAGCTCAACTCCAGAAAAATAAATGACCCAATCAAAAAATGGGCCAAAGAACTAAACAGACATTTCTCCAAGGAAGACATACAGATGGCTAACAAACACATGAAAAGATGCTCAACATCACTCATTATCAGAGAAATGCAAATCAAAACCACAATGAGGTACCATTACACGCCAGTCAGGATGGCTGCTATCCAAAAGTCTACAAGCAATAAATGCTGGAGAGGGTGTGGAGAAAAGGGAACCCTCTTACACTGTTGGTGGGAATGCAAATTAGTACAGCCACTATGGAAAACAGTGTGGAGATTTCTTAAAAAGCTGGAAATAGAACTGCCATATGACCCAGCAATCCCACTTCTGGGCATACACACCAAGGAAACCAGATCTGAAAGAGACACGTGCACCCCAATGTTCATCGCAGCACTGTTTATAATAGCCAGGACATGGAAGCAACCTAGATGCCCATCAGCAGACGAATGGATGAGGAAGCTGTGGTACATATACACCATGGAATATTACTCAGCCATTAAAAAGAATTCATTTGAATCAGTTCTAATGAGATGGATGAAACTGGAGCCCATTATACAGAGCGAAGTAAGCCAGAAAGATAAAGACCATTACAGTATACTAACACATATATATGGAATTTAGAAAGATGGTAACGATAACCCTATATGCAAAACAGAAAAAGAGACTCAGATGTATAGAACAGACTTGTGGACTCTGGGAGAAGGCGAGGGTGGGATGTTTCAAGAGAACAGCATTGAAACATGTATATTATCTAGGGTGAAACAGATCACCAGCCCAGGTTGGGTGCATGAGACAAGTGCTCGGGCCTGGTGCACTGGGAAGACCCAGAGGGATGGGGTGGAGAGGGAGGTGGGAGGGGGGACCGGGATGGGGAATACATGTAAATCCATGGCTGATTCATTTCAATGTATGACGAAAACCAGAAAAAAAAAAATAAAAGGCATGGGCATGCAGCGTACAGCATAAAAAAAAAAAAAAAAATTTGTATGCCAAAAACAAAAAAAAATAAATAAATAAATCGTTGCCCAGATATTCACACCGTGCCACAACTCTTGGCTTTATGGAAGGACTTACGGAGATATTTCTGGGGATGCACCGTGCCTGGCACAGAGGAGAAGCACAACTAAACAAGTGCTGTTTGGGTCGACCAGCTCCCCAGTAAAGACTGGGTTTACGGAACAAATGAAATTTTGCAGGACCCAGTGAATAATCCTCGCAGGGCTCAGAGGCTGGGTCCCACGTCGGCCGGACAAGCCTTCCCAGCCCAGCCCCCGGGGCCCCGGCAGGCCCGTCCGGCAGACGCACGGCTTTCTCACTTACGTGGATGCTCGGATGTGTGCAGGCTTTCGGATAAGGACCAGGAGGAAACCCAAATGAGCACAAGGGCTGTCCACATCTTGCAGGTGGGCCGGGAGCGAGGCTGGGCGGTCCCCGGGGCTCCCAGCCGGCCGCGCCTCAGGCTGCTAAGGGCTCCCTGCTGCTTGGCCGAGGGACCTATGGTCAAGACAGCAGGCGTCTGGTCAGGAACGCGGGGGCAGGGGCTCCCCTGTCACGGGTGAGGGAGGGCTCCGGCGGGCCGCAGGGTGCAAACCCAGCCAGACGTCCCTCCGGGGCCTGCCATGCGGGAAGGGTGTGCCAATTCTCAGCCACGTGTCCAGCGATTGGCCCAGTGCCTGCTTTCATGGGCTAAGAGCACTTCTTGACCCAATTTCACTACGAGTCCCACCACCCCACCCCAGAGTTCAGAACATAAAAGAGCAGCAGAGAGAAGGTATGAAGACTTCCAGCTACCGAGATCACCCAAGTCCTCCTCAACGTGTCCTGCAGCTTGCAGGACCTGCGATGGTTGACCGCATGGGGAAATGCCACGAGCAGCCAGCCATCACTCATCCGTCATCCGGCCACCCATCCACCCGTCCAGCACGCCCTGAGTGCCTGCTCACGTGCCAAGCAATGGACTCAGGGCAGAAAGATGAGAGCCACACGACTCTCTCCTGCAGAGGGAGGCACAGAAGAGGGGTCACAGCAAGCTGGTGCCAGTGCAGAGCAGACCGTGACTCAGGGTCGGGAAACAGCGAGGGGATGGCACCTGGGCGGGCCGTGAAGCGGGAAGGGGAGGCTGGCCCTCCGAGCGGAGGCCCCAGAGGTGGGTGGGAAGGGGCTGGGTGCTGTGGGGCCCAGAGGGGGCCCAGAATTCAGCTGGTGGGGGCTGGGGCAGGGTGCCGGGCCGGTTTCCTGGGTGCCATCTGGGCCATGTTCTGAAAGACAGATGGGATCCACCTGTTGGGAAAGGGGTGAGGGAGGTGGGTAGGAGGGAGTGGCGGGTGATGACAATGGGGACCAGGGGATGGTGCGGTGAGACCTGGGGCTAAACTAAAGAGGGGCGGACACCCGGGTGTGGTTTGGATTTGGGGGTGGGGGGATGGGAGCCCCTGCAGGTCCGACCGAGGCAGGGGTGTGCAAGTATACACAGGGGTTCCAGGCAACGGGCATCTCGCGGGGCGATGCAGGTGGGAGGGGGCGGGGTCCGAGAAGGCCGAGAGACTCAGCCTGGGAGTTCCACGGTAAGCGACAGGGCTGGCTGAGTGGGCCCGCTTGCAGAAGCCCTGGTCTCTGAGGGTGACGGTGCAGCTGCATGGACTGAGAGAGGCCCCACTGCGGCTGAGCGTCAGCAGAACGAGGACTGGGCACAGCCAGGACTGACTTCCCTGGCACACGAGTCTCCCTATGCTCACCCCGGTCTCTCCCATGTGCTAGCACTCTCCCATTCCTCGCTGCAGGGCAACCGAGAGGCCTGGTAGCCTTGAGGGGCCCGTCACTTCATGCCCTGCTGGTCCTGGGTGGGCCCTGAGCCTGTTCTCAGCCCCGCCCAACCACCAAGTCCCACGTGGTCACCCGCGAGGCCTAGGCCCTCCCTGGACAGGGGCCCAGCCGCGCGCACCCTAGGTTAGTCCCGCAGCCCAGCACTCCACGAAGGCCCAGGGCAGGCGGAGCATAGGCTGCTGGAGTCTGGGGGCAAGTGAGGGGATTGGGGCCCCTGAGAGCACCCCCCACAAGCAGTCCTGCCCGCAGGCACCCTATCAGCGCGAAGCTCTGGAGTTCCACAGAACATCTTGCAAGGGAGCCTTCAAGTCATCCTAAAGGAAATGTGCTGACCAATTCCTTGCCTGGCATGATGCTAAGTGCTGCTCTGCACGGACCAGCAGCTGGGCTGGTTCCCTGGCCTCCCAACAGCCCCGAGAGTCACCTTCAAGCGTCCCCATCCTGGCCCTGTGCCATCTGCCACTCCACAGCTGCCAGAGAGAGTTCTATAACCCACAAAGCCCACCCTGCCTCCGCGGCTTAAACCCCTACTCTCCCAGGATAATTCCAAAGCTTACTGACCAGGGATTCTGGCAGGAACTAAATCGCCTGTGGCTGGTGATTTGTCAGGTAAGTGTATACTGAAATGTAACCCTGAATATTCATTGGAAGGACTGATGCTGAAACTGAAGCCCCAATACTTTGGCCACTTGATGGCAAAGAGCCGACTCATGGGAAAAGACCCTGATGCTGGGAAAGATTGAAGGTGGGAGGAGAAGGGGACGACAGAGGATGAGATGGTTGGATGGCATCATCGACTCAATTGATACGAGTTTTAAGCAACCTCCAGGAGATGGTGAAGGACAGGGAAGCCTGGTGTGCTGCAGTCCATGGGGTCACAAAGAGTTGGAAACGACTAAATGACTGAACAGCAATGTTTAGGTAACAGAAGACGCATTAACACGTCTCTGGTCAGTAAGCTGTCAGTATGGCGAGGTAGCCTTCCATATCTGACCCTCGGCCCCTCCTGGATGCACTCACTTCCAACAGACGCGTGAAAGACCTGCAGTCCCCCACCCGCCCCCGTACAGCATAAAGGGGCCCCTTGGGGACATTGCTGGGTGGCCCCAGAACTGGAAAAAACCCCCTCAGAGCACAGACTCTGCTGGAAGGCTGTGCTCCGCACCTCCACACCACCTCACCCCACCCCAGGCTTCTAACTAAGTGTCACTAACTTCAGTTTAGCCTCATGGTGCGCTTTCCTGCCAAAACCGTCCTGTCAGGGTTCCTGGGGTCTCACAGGTGTCAAAAGGTCCCTCAGCCCTACAAACCACAGATTTGCATCTGCTCTCTTGAGTGCGAAAGGCATTCTTTGTTCTGACAGAAACACGTGGGGGTAGGGTGGGCAGAGAAGAAACAGACCAATGTCACAAGCGCGGACTGAACCAGGGAGGTCTCAGGCACAAAGAGCTCACACACCACCACCACCCCCACCCGTCCACGGCTGAAGCAGACGCAGCTGGGCTCTCCGTAAATAAACGTATTGCAATGGCTCTCTCTTCGGCCAGTCACACCCAGCAAGTGCATTGACAATACCCCCACCACCGAGCCCCACGTGCTCCCTGTCTGAACCCTGGATCTCAGGGCTTCCAGAATGCACCCCGGGCCTTAGGGCCTTCCGCTGCCCCCTCACTACAAATCTCGAGAGCAGGATCAGCAAGCTTTTTCCTGTGAGAAGCTTGATTGCAAGTATTTCAGACTCGGTGGGCCATAGAGTCTGTCTTGGTTACTCAAGTCTGCAAAAGCAGGCATGGACCCTAGGCAGGTGATGGGTGTGACTGTGTCCCAATAAAACTTTATTTACAAAGACAGGCAGTGGGCGGGACATGCCCCCCCCCCCCCCCCCCCCCNCCCCCCCCCCCCCCCCCAGCTCTGGGACTTCACTGAGCTTCAGAGCTGACATTCCAGCTAAAGCAGGAGGAACCGATTCAGGGGGCTGAACGAACTTCCTCCTTCTGTCCAGCTCCTCACCCTGGAACAGACGTGGACTGTACCATTCTTGGTCCAGGGACGGCCTCCAGGCGGCCTCTTCCCGGGGCCCCTTCTGCTATGAGAGGCCCCCTCCACCCCCAGCATTGCTAAGATGCAGCACCCCAAGGGGCTCCCACAGTCTCGTGGTGTCACAACACGAGGCCTAGAGGGAACCTCCCAGAAACAGAAGATGGCCAGAGGACCACATGGTTCCCATGCCCACCTGGGGAGCCATGTCCGGGGCCACCAGAGAAGGCAGAGGCTCTGTCGGTGCAGCACCACCGGCCAGGCCTCCTGGTCACTGGATGGCTCAGTTCTCTGATGTCCACGCTTTCTTTTGCCCACCCTGGCCCTGCAAAGCCCCCACAGGGCTGTTTCTGGGTTCCCTGTCCTGTCACTGAGCAGGCGGCCCTGCCCGCGGACCTTGGACACTCACGAGAGGCAGCTGCTCAGGGCACGCTCCCAGGCTGGGCCATCCTCCTTGGAGAGCTGAGGGCTTGGCACTGAGGGCTCGCAGGGTGAGGAATGGCTTTACGGGAGGTGAGGGCAGCTTTGCGGGGCACTCCCAGGCCATGGCACGCTCTACGGCGCAGGTGGGATCCAGGCAGATGCTCCACTCTGGCAAAAGATGCATCTAGGGTTTGAAAAAGAGTAAGCGCTCCTTAGGAAAAGCAGGGGGTAATATCCAGTGAGAAGGGAGCATTGTCCTAGGAGCCAACCAAAACTTCAGAGGAGCCCAGGATACAGGTGTAAAGATATGAACCAGCAAGCATGATTCTGTCATTGGTGAATATCTGATACATACTCAGGAAGAAATGCAAGAAACTCACCAGTTTCAAGAATGGCAGACACAAGTAGGTGGTGATGCCTGAGGACCACCACTGGCTGGCTCACTATCACAGACACCCACGTGCACATGTGCCAACCAGGACCCTGTGGGGCTCCTGGGCACACAGATCTTTTTGTCCCCCATTTCTGATAGGCAAGACTCCAGGCTCCATGACCTTTTCTGAGTTCCAAATGGCCTAGCAGTTGCTAACCATGGGAGGAACAGGATGAAACTCAAGGCAAGACTAATGGACCTGAACAGAATCATCAAGATTAGGAGCGGGCCCACCCTGCACACACCCTAATCTTGTCAGCAACCTCACCCTTTTGAAACTTTGCAGAAGTTACTGCCTTGTTCCTTATCACATCCCCATGCCTGACAGTAACCTCTTCCAAGGGAAGGGAGCACAGTTCTTGAGGCACTAGCCTACTGCGCTCACCTTTGCATACCAAGGTAAGAAAGCCACTCTTTCCTTCTCCTCCATGACTCTGTCTCCATATCTGTTTGGCCATGGCGCACAGAGTCAAGGTTTTGGCAACACACACACACATGCATAGGCAGTCACACTCATGCACAGAGCTACACATGCACCCATATCCACGTGCACAAGGCAACACACGCATGCACACTGCCCTGCATGCACACGTGCAATCATACCTGTGCGTGTGTGCAAACACACACACAGTTACATACACGAGGTGAGCGTGCTCACGGAGCATCTCTCAAGCTATCTCAGGGAGCTCCACGGGTCTCTCAAGAAACCTCTGATGGCTCCCATCACAGCCTCTTCCCCCAGCCAGTGCGGCTGGTAATCGCTGCTACAGAGACAGGAATTGGCCGCTGTGTAGAGTCAAGAGCAGGCCCTTGTGCCATGACCTCATCCCTCTGGTATGGTACAGCCCCCACCTTCCAACCCCGTATTCTAAATGTCAAGATTCCCCTGTCGGGACCTGTGCTAATCGAAGTTGACTCACAATGGAAAGTGTAAGTGAAGTCGCTCAGTTGTGTCCCACTCTTTGCCAACCCATGGACTGTAGCCCATGAGGCACCTCCATTTATGGGATTTTCTAGGCAAGAATACTGGAGTGGGTTGCCATTTCCTTCTCTGGGGGATCTTCCCAACCCAGGGACTGAACCTGGGTCTCCTGCATTGCATCTAAGCCACCAGGGAAGCCCAATGGAGAAACCATCACCAAGACTTAGTATCTGTGTTTCCCCTGCAGAGGCTTTTGGTGCTGTTCAGTCGCTCAGTTGTGTCCAACTCTTTGTGACCCCATGGACTGCAGCACACTAGGCTTCCCTGTCTTTCACTGTCTCCCAGAATTTGCTCAAACTCATGTCCTCTGGGTCAGTAATGCTTCAGTGAGCCTTAATGTAGGGTCTGGCCATTATTCTCATTATCTGGTGTAGAAAGACTGGGCAGGTCAAGATCTCAGAAAGACACCCTTGGAGCAGGAAGGAAATGGTGTTAAGTAGGAGAGCAGGCCAGGAGGAAAGACGGGAGGTTAGGCTGGTTCTCAGAGTTCTCATTTTCAGGGCTCAGCTCTTCACGAGCTGTGCAGGGAAGGGACAGGAGCCAGGCAACACTTCATGAGAAAGGCACCCTGAGACATGGCCCTGGGCGCCAATGTCATCATCCTTCTCTGGTCCTTGACTTTGTGCTGCCTCTCAACATCTCCCACTTCTGACTTCTGTGCTCTCAATCTTGGCTTGACTTTTAAACTTCTTTGAGACTGTGATATACAGGCATGCAAGTTACCTGAAATCAGACTCCAAATTGCTTAATTCCTTTTTCTGGCTTACACAGGTTCCTGGGCCAACACAAGTGTTACCTGCCACATTCCATCACACTAGTAACTTATTTATCAGTGGCAGCGGCAATGTGACTCCAACTGGAGAAACACACACCAAGGAACAGGGATTGCAGAAACAAACGCAGGGCAAACCACAGACATCTGTCCTGACACGTCACCTGGCTGAACTTTGGTATCAGAACGCAAGGAACACAGGTGTGTGGTTTTGTGTCTTTAGACATTGTCCTGGGTTCCAAAGGATGTGTGTCTGTGTCAGATGGGAACCTGGAGCGCTGGAGAGCATCTTAATTATATTGCTTCCTTCCAGGCTTCTGGAATTTTGGATATGATGCTAACTGCTGATCAAGAGCCTAATTTCTGCTGGCCACGTGGGTAAATTCCACATTCCTTTGTCCATCAGGCAAGTCTGGCCTATAAGCTGAACATCTGTATTGAAATTTTAGAGATGATTCCTCCAGGGAGGAGGGAAAAATATTATTAAAGTAGATTTCTAACTAGGTATTTATGTCTTATGGCAAACCATGTGGATGCTGGCTCCTCATACTAGCTTAACGGCTAATGGCAGAGACTAAGCGGCTACCCAGACTCACGTGGGGGAAGGCAGGCAGGTTAAGTGGACATGCATAAGCCCCTCTCAGGTACAGAGGGCTTGGGGGAGGCCTGGGCCGCCTCTGTCGTTGAGGGCAACACTTCCTGGGGCCCAGACTTGGGCCGGGCAGGGCCTTTTAAGCTCCCCACCCATCCGGGTGTGTCCCAACTTTCCCTCCTTCGCTCCCAAACTGGACCGACCGCGTCTCTTCTTCTCCGGTTCTGGGTCCTCTTAAGGCCCCCTTTTGCCTCCTGCCTCTTGGGCTCCCCCATCCCCGATCCTTCCCCCAGCTGACTCCTCCTTCCGATCCTTCCTCTCCTCCTTCCTCACCTCCAATCGTCACCAGTGTGCACTCCGTATCCCCATTCATCTTGTCGCTGCCTCCCTCCGCCGCCCCTTGAGTCCCCCATGTACCCCACCTTCCCCTCTCCGCCCCCAAGCCGGTACAGGCAGCAGTGACAACAGCTCCCCGGGACAGCAGGGAGGCCCGCTTACCCGGGCGCGGCAGGCCTTGAGGCGGCCCGGCGGCCCTCGGGCGGCGGGAAGCGCCCGCGGTCCGGCTTGGGGACGTGGCCGGCAGCGGAGCCGCGGGACCTGGTGCCAAGACAGCTCAGGGCAGCCGCCCCAGCTCGGCCCCGCCCCGGTCCGCCCCGGAGGTGACGTCACGGAAGGGCGGACCATGGTGGGCGGGGCAGCCTTGGACGACCCTGGAGCCCGACTCCCGAAACGAGTGGCGCTGCCGGAGGCGAGCCGGAAGTGAGGGGCGTGACCGCACCCAGGACCACGCCCACCGCGGAGCGGCTCTGGTTACACCGGGAGCGCGGCCGGAAGTGGCTATTTTGGCCTGGTCTCTGCCGGAAGTGGTGGTTCCTGGGGCTCTGCCACCTGGACGCGTATACCGCCCTGTCCGGCGGAGGGTCTCGAAGAGGGTCATCTCAGACCTCCCTTGGCGTGGCTGTGCCATGTGCCCGCCCCCATCCCACAGACTTTATCCAGGCCCAGGGGCCAGCGCTGGGACTAAGTAATAGTAGAGATGGCCACCCGTGGGTCTTGAGCACTTGCGCGCGCCAAGCCCTGAGCTTGGTTCAGTGATTTTACTCTGCAGTAACCCTGTGTCACGCTTCGCACCCGTTTTACAGACGCTGAAACTGAAGCTCACAGAATGTTCTTTAATTCTGAGCCGTGAATAACAGTGGGGCAGAATGAAGTACAGAGTAAAGCTGACGGGACTTGACCTTCATTAGAAATAGGCTTTGAGGGCTGAGACAGAGGCTCTAGAGGTATTGGTGGTGGTGGCTTAGTCGCCGAGTCACGTCCGACTCTTGCGACCCCATGGACTATAGCCTGCCAGGCTCCTCTGTCCACGGGGTTCTCCAGGCAAGAATATTGGAGTTAAGTTGCTGTGCTCTCCTCCAGGGGGTCTTCCTTACCCATGGATAAACCATAATGGAAAAGAATCTTAAAAAGGAATGCCTGTATGTATGGGCTTCCCTGGTGCCTGAACGATTTAGAATCCACTTGCCAATGCGGGAGATGTGGGTTTGATCCCTGGGTTGGGAAGATCCCCTGGAGGAGGGCATGTCAACCCACTCCAGTATTCTTGCCTGGAGAATCCCATGGACAGAGGAGCCTGGTGGGATACAGTCCATGGGGTCTCAAAGAGTCAAACATGACTGACCAACTAAGCATAGCACACAAATACAAGGAAAAGCACAAAATCGTTGACTTGAGATTCTTGGTTTTCTTGAACAGTAATCTTTTGATGTTTCAACTTGCTGGGTTTTGTTGCTGAAACTCCTATATCTCCTGGTTCCTCCCTTACCTATTCGGGGCAGTATCTCAGAATTTTCTGAGATGCTATGTACTTGGCTTAAGTCTTCAGTTTTGTCCACCAAATAACACATAATTCTCAACTTGTAGGTTGTATGTTTTTTTCAGTCAGCAGGGCCCTGGGCTGAGAAACTAAATGTGACACAGAAAACTGGAGGTGTGTGACAAAGTCAGCTAGCCAGCTGTGAGCCCTCGGAGCACCTGAAACTCACTTTAGTGATGGCACTGCCCAGTACCCCATGGTTTCAGGTTGTGTAGAACTTACTCTGAAAGACATAGGTTTGCTGAGATGTAGATCAGATGGAAGGGTTCATGAAGACAAGCTCCTTTGGTTTGTGTTTGCTTTAATTTTCCCAACTAGCTCCAATCTAACATGAAAAGTACAGCATCTCTGTTCAATTCAGAAGTGAAAATACACTCAAGCAACCAGTTATAGTTCTGTGCTTGCCTTCCTCAAAGTTAACTTCTGTGATCCTATGTGTTATTTCCTCTTTGGCAAAACCGGAACAATTTTTACTACAAAGGCTGCAATTACAAAGATAAGACACAGCCCTCCTTCTTAAGGAGCTCATGGTCTACAGCAGGGTCTGCTGGCCCTCTGTCTGCTTTTACAATTTTATTTATTTGCTTGTTCATTTTTAGCTGTGCTGGGTATTTGTTGCAGCGAGGGCTTTTCTCTAGTTGTAGCAAGCAGGGACTACTCTCTAGCTGTGGCGTGCAGGCTTCTCATCTCAGTGGCCTCTTCCATTGTGGAGCACGGGCTTTAGGGCACACGGGCTTCAGCAGTTGCTGCACGTGGGCCCAGCAGCTGTGGTTCTTGGACTCGAGAGCACAGGCTCAATAGTTATAGTGCACGGGCTTAGCCACTCTTGTTGCTCTGAAGCAGGTGGGATCCTCTCGGATCAGGGATTGAACAGTGTCTCCTGCGTTGGCAGGCGGGTTCTTTAGCACTGAGCCACCAGGGAAGCCCAGTGTTTGCTTTTGTAATAAACTTTAATTGGAATATCATTACACCGCTTTGTTCTGTATTATCTAGCTGCTTTTGCACTGCAAGGGCAGAGTTGAATTGTTGCAGCAGAGACTGTTTGGCTCGCCAAAACCTAACATATTTACTGCCTGGCCCTTCAGAATTTGCTTGCAAACCCCCAGTCTAGAATGTTGCAAGGAAATGGTTTCAGACAGCAGTGGAAATATATGTTGCAAGGAAATGGTTTCAGACAGCAGTGGAAATACCTTGTTGAGGTGGTCCAGGATACAGGGAAACTCATTCTCTCGTAGGGGAATTTGGCAACTTTCAGTGGATTGGGGTCACCTGGCACCTCGAATCCACTGAACACAGCTCTGGGAACCACGTTACTGTTTGTGCAGAGTATTTTGAGCAATGAAGCAGGCCAGGCGAGCTGATTCTGATGGCAGGGGACGAATTAAAGACAGAGAAGGAAGGATAAGCTTAAATCCTCACGCTGTGACTCAGGGCACTGATGCCCTCAGGTTCTTTCCATGCAGAAATGGCTAAATAACAAACTCAGCTTGGTCCTTTTAGCTGTTGATTTATAATGTCATTTGAATGTAATGCCACGCGCGATCCCCCGTGTAAATGTTAGGGCCATGGAGTAGCACTGCCAGGCTTCAGATCCTGGCTGCTTTACTTTTTAGCTGAGTGACGGCGGGCAAGAGGCTAAGCCACTCTGTGCCTCAGTTTATCCTACGGTCAATTCTCATGACTTGTGGTTGTTATGCTTAATAAAATTGCCGTGAATTCGGACTTAGTGAATGCCGAACCACTGCTCCTAGGGAAGAAAACAAGACCGATACTTCCCCTCACGCTCTACACTTTACAGTCATTTTTACACTCCAAACACAAAATTGAGGACATTGAAATTATGAGAATTTTTAGAATAAAAATAGATAATTTATGAAGATAGGAATATAATTATATACACATTATTTGATTGATCCTGCTGACCTGTCAGTTGCAATGTTCAGAAATATTAACTTGCCTTTCAGATATTTACTGTGGCTAGCTGGAAATTTTTTTTTAGAGATTACGAAAGCAGGTTGCTACAGATATACATTGACTTCTTCAATTTTTAAAAAAGCACATTTTAAATTTCAACACATCACTAATTTAGCAAAATTATTCAAAGGTATCTTGTATAGTCTAAAAATCTTTATTGATGATTATTATACATACAGAAAAGAATATGTGCAGATTTATAGCTTGATGAATTTTCACTAACAACCCCCTGTGTAGCCACTCAGATAAGAAAGCCAGTACCAGCATCCTGGGGACCCCCTTGTCCTCCTTCCCAGTCCCTCCAAAACTACCAAGTATCTGCGAAGATTCAGAACAATTTGAACTCTTACACATTGGTGATGGGAATGCAAAATGGTAGAGTCTTTTGGAAAACAGTTTGACAGTCTCTCATAAAGTTAAATATACACTTGCTATATGACCCAGCAATCCCACTCACCTTGGGTATTCACCCAAGGGAAATGAAAACATCTGTTCACACAAAGACCTGTATGAAAAAGTCTATAGCAACTTTATTCATAATTGCCAAAGGCTGGAAACACCCAAATGACTCAGTGGGTGAATGGATAGATAAAATGTGTTGTGTCTATACAGTGGACTACTGCATTCACCAACACTGGTGAGTCACAGAAGCACTATGCTAAGAGAAAGAAACCTGATGTCAGAGGCTACAATATGATCCCATTCACATAGTTTTCATCAAAAGACTGAAGTATAGAGACAGAACCAGAGGTCACTGGGGGATGGGATGAGGAAAAGGGTTGGTTCAGGGTCACCAGATAAAGTGCACGTTGCCCGGCTAAAGTTGCTGAAACTGACTGCTCCATCAGAAGAACCTGAGGGAATTCTTGATGGAAATATTCTGTATCTTGCTTATGATGACGGTTACACAACTATATACATTTGTCCCAACTCATGGAACTGTGAGCTTTACTGAATGTAAATTCTGCCTCAATGAATTTCACTAAAACACTAAACACGGGATTGTAAAGAAAGGCAAAAGTGAAAACAGGATTGTGATGACAGTTACATGAGTGTGTGTATGTGTGCACACGTGCATATGTGTATAAGTGGAAACAAACACAAAAGGAATGCATTGTCATATGTAAATCCAATAAAATTGGATTTTTTTCCCCAGTTTTACTGGGGATAAAGAGACCCATTCTTTGGGAATACCCTGACTGTTCCGTGGTTAAGACTCCACACTTCCACTGCAGGGCTTGCATCCCAGGATCCCTGGTCGGGCAGGGAACTAAGATCCTGCATGCCTTGCAGCATAGCAAAACAAGCAAAAAGAGACACATTTCCTACTTATACAAAATTCAACACACCAGGAAGATGTATAATCCCTAATATTCAAAACTGGAATAGCCCCAATTCCAAGACCTCAAAATATGTAGAGCAAAACTGGCAGAGAAGAAATAGAAAAATTCCCAACATAGGGAGAGACTTTAATATGCTTCTTTTAGTAGTGTATAGAACAAGCTGAACTTGCCTCCCCCACAAAAAAACCAGTAAGATTGTTAAAGACTTCGATGACATTGCTAAGAATTCCTGGCTTCATGAACATGTGTAGATCATTCCACCTAATAACTGAGTAATTGATAGCTTAATTGCATGTCCTGGGGAAGAGGGCTAAGAGTGTGCT